ACCCCCGACCCAAAGACCCCTGGTGGCGCAACCCGGAAAAGCCGCGGGCGTCAAGGACTGACGCGAGGGGGTCACCTGATGCGTCAAAATAAGACGYAGAGGGAACTTTGGAAAAGCGTCAATATGTGACGAGTCGGGAGTGAGAATGTGTAGTAACATCCTATACACACCTACCAGACCACACCCCCAACCAGTCCTGACCTCTCCTGTCTATTCCTGCCTTCTCTAAACTCCTCCCTCCCCATGAAGCGCAGCACATGACAAACACTCAGTTCTGTTGAGTTCTACTCAAACAGTACCCCTACACTCATTGGAAAATGCCAGCCATATTCCACTACATCTTAGACAACACATACAAATCAACAGGCTGTCTCCAACTGGAACAGCTGACTCCACCATGCACTYCCCATAAAGAACCCAGTGATCCAGGACTGAACCTGATCTTGAGTGAGCGTGCACTTCCTAAGGGATTTACCAACTTTGCGGAGCCATCGGGCAACAGGTGGGATCCTCTGAGTAAATGCTTGCCTATCCTGACCCCTTTCCATAAACCTAACCTCACATACCTGACCCTAAACCTAACCTAAACTCATTTCACACCTTAGTCCTAAACCTAACCCCGACTCATCAATGATATTTCCCCCTTGGTGCTTAGGTCCCCATAAGTACAGGTTGGTCCTCACAAATACCTGCCCACACACACACAATGGGCAATTCATTATCATCCACCTTCACACTTAATAATAAACCAGTACAAAGATGTTTGCAGAAACAAAACATGCATCCCAAATTCACTTTTCATATGACCTTACCACAGCAGTTCATTCGTCTTGAAGGGTAAAATATGAGTGACAGACACTTGGACCTCCATCTGACCTGCCTCTTCAGATCCCACATCTATCTGTTGCTATGCATTCTGGGAAGACAAGTCCTTGAAATCTCAGTTCTTGCTCCCTTTTGTCACTGTACACGTACTGGATGGATGTCCATGACACACCCAGGCGCTGTCAGTATTCACAGAGCTCTTCTCCATGACCCCCCTCTGTGAAACAGCAGGACAGAAAGTCAGGGGAAGAAAAGAAAGAGAGGAAGAAAGGCAGAATGTGCCCACATGAGTGTGACATGGCGCTACCGGACTCATGCTCTCACCATGACAACCGTGCAGATGAGGGAGGAGGCCCGAGGGGACCCCTTGGCTCTTTGGTGAAGTACAATGTGCTGTCTTAACCTCGGTGCCGTCCCCGTTGTTGGCGGGTCAAATCCTTGAATATCAATGAAGTGACTGAGTGTCCCTCGCAGTGGTCCTCAGAACTGTCCCGCTCACATGAGAAGAGCTCGATGTCCTGCCTGACCTCCGCTGACCTGCCTCCAGCCCCTTGCTGCTTTCAGAGCAGAAAGGCTGATTCCACGGGGTTAAACAACACTCAGTCAGAGCGCACGCATTCCTGCCTCCTGCTTCCACTCACGTTTAGCCGGAGCACGACTTACCCTGAGGTTGCTCCCACAGATGCCAAGAGTAATGTAGAAAATGAAAAATAAATGAATGAATAAATAAATAAATAAATAAATAAATAAATAAATAAATAAATAAATTAGGTAAATACCTGGTTGGGTTCATGCAAACATTCTGATGATAGACACTTTATCAAATYTGATAGTATGATTACATTTATATAGACAGTAAAGGATTACTTGGATTAGAAGAACTGGGAAATTAAACACTTTTTGGAAAAAGAATGCAAATCTCCAGATGTTTCTTATGCAAGACTTTTAGGGTGTTTTACACCCGATAGTCAGGTAGTCGATTCACTTGGGGACCAAATTTGCAACGTTTGTTTGCATTTTCAGCTGGTGCMGTTCACTTTCACACWGTMCTGTATCAAACGCACCAAACCCTGTGAGCAACCTGTTTACCCTCCTCGCCTGTGGAGGCGCTGCACCAAGAACCACTGAAGGAAACAACACAACAACATCTGAAGAAGACATTGAGCACAGCTTCTTTCTTAAAGAAATGTAAAGAAAAATGGAGCGAGGTCAGATTTTAGTGGTTGTGAGCGCTCTCTTTTATTTTTGGCAAATGTGACAAACACTCCAACAATGGGCTCAAAGTGGAAGATGAGGCATGGAGTATGTTGTTTTGTTTTGTTTTTACACAAGACTGCTGACACGGCTTTGTATGAGGCGGCGTGCCGTGCATCGAGTAGGAGCGAATCCAACTTCATGGCAGTAATGTCYACATTATAAAGATGAGCATCAAGGTAAATACAAGATACAAGCTTATTATTATTATTAGTTCACTTCCTGCTTTTGGAGCAGTCTTCGGTGTGCTTGGCATTCACACAGGCATTGAAACTTCCTGGCAAACAAACTAGAGTTCCATTAGAGTGCACTAAACAGTTCTGCTGTGAATACACCCCTAGACTGAAATCATCTTAAGTTCATATAAATGACAACGCTTTAGTCATACTTTGAAAATACTATTATGCGCAGTCTCATACAATAGATTGAACATAACTAGATGGCTCAAAGTATTTTTTGAGAGAGACTATCAGCTACAACTATACAAAATTTGAGCTAAATATTTAAAGAATCGACTGAATCATTGACAGACTCACTAAGAGAGGCAAAAAAAAAAACAAAAACAAAACAAAACCCACGATCATCCTGCACATTCTGGTGGACAATTGATGGTGGTGTCTAAGGGCACCTCCTACATAAACACACATATACACACTCACAAATAGATTTATGATGGTTGCAACCACTAGAACAACATTCCAACAGCAGCTCTGCCCGTCTTTAACAGGAAGTAAACATTTAGTGTCACTTCCTGCTTGATTTGCAGCKCTGCTTCTTTTCCTCATTTAATGAACAGAACTGAAGCTTTTCTTGTTGTTTAGTTGATCTTGTCAAAATGCCTCAAAGCAATGAGCATGACCCAAAGCAGTGATCAAACACTGCATTCAAATATACTTCCTATGGAGTTACTCACAGGATGGCTGTATTGTGAGCCTTTATAAACTAGTTGGGCAGGTGCTCTGCTGTAAATCAGTAGACACATTGTTTGCATGCCGTTGAAGGATCTTCCCCACTACAGCTTGTGGCTTTTGGCTCAGACCTGTCATGAAACAACAAATTTATGAGCTTCAGTCATTTTTCTCCCTGCACATCTGCTCTAAAAAAAACCTAAAAGCAACCCCCCCCCCCCCCCCAATTTTTTTAACAAGAAAAATGTAGGAAATCTTTTTGGGAACTTTCCTAATACACTACCCAAAAGTACAAGTTATCATTTCTGTGTTGACAAGCTTACAAATCTAAACAAACTCTCTATCCTCAAGTCAACTCACATCAAAAGCTGAGAATAAACACTTTGGTTTGAAAAAAAAAACTTGGAGTCACAGTAAACAAAGACAGCAGCAGTCCAGCGGTGTTTTTACAGGACTTGTCAAGCTGGAACTCACAGATTGGCTTTGTAAGTGGGCTGTTATTTTCCACTCAGRCCAGATAAGTGGGTCCTGACCCCTTTCTGTGGGAAGATTAGCCGCTTCTGCCATCACTCCCATTGCTTTTATCGTGACCAGACCATCTCAGCTGCCACCGGTGTCCAGAAAAATACCCCAAGATTCTTCAGCCGGGCTTGATTATTGGAAGGAACACATGTACTATCAGATACAGTTGCAARCTCAACAATAAAGTTGTTTATAATCTCCTCAAGCTGTTCCTTGGTACTTACTCCCAAATTGCTTCCAGTCTTGTCAGTATAGGGAACAAGCTGGGAACAAAATGGGACATTGTATTGGATTGCTGTGCACCAACACATGTTCTGTGTTGAGTGTGCCCATTCCTGTTTAACTGATTCCTGCAGGGGGAAAAAAAATCAGCAATGATTTTGAGCAAGAAATTGCAGCCAAAACAAACAAGCTGGTAAACTGTGCTGCTGTGCTAGCTCTGGTTTGAGCAACTACCTGGTTGTAGTATTTATAAATCACTGAATKGGGGCTCATTATCCTGAGGTAGAAGGTTTGAGCCCAGCTTGTATCAGAAAGAGCATCCATCATAAAACAATTGGCAATTTTTTTATGTGACTTTGCTTCCTACGGCAAAAGTTTGGATGTGTGCACTCTGGGGAGATTTGAGAGAAAACTATATTTCTTTTAATAGAAAGAGACACATTAGATGAAAGTAGACAGAAAATGCCCTCATTGTGACATTTAAACTATAAGAAATTGAACATTCGTAGGTGTCAGGTAAGTTCACAACCATTTAAAAAAATCTTAGACATATAAAAAAATGGTTGTGTAAAAATATAAGAGAAATGCCAAATCTATGATGAATGCGTAAGCTATAAAGTGTTTTTTCACTTAAACCCCATTGTTATAGTAAATGTGAATTTTTTTTGCAAATTCTGTTCATCTGTTCAGTGTTCTTTTATCAAAAGTCAGTGTTCTGTTCTTCAAAGAGCCCAAGACTAATTTATAATAATAAGTATAATATTAGTCTTGAACAGCGCTTTTAGAGACCCTCAAAGACGCTTTACAATTTTCATGGATCATTCATTCACACACACATTCACACAGTGATGACAGTAAGCTACATTGTAGCCACAGCTGCCCTGGACACACTGACAGAGGCGGGGCTGCCATGCTGGGACACTGGCCCCTCTGACCACTATCAGTCGGTAAGGTGGGTGAAGTGTCTTGCCCAAGGACACAACGACTGAAACGGCTGGACTGGGGATCGAACCGKTGACYTTCCAGTTCCAGGGCGACTCCCCCAACCACTCTGCCACGGCCGCCCCCAYGAACCAAATGCCTCTGCCTTCTGTTGCTGTTGCTGATGCTAACCTTCCCGCACACAAACATAGTGCCACATAAGCTTTCATTTCATCAAGAAATAACTAATGACAGCTAAACTGGTTAGAAAAAYAAATATTTGAACATACAGTAGCTGGGTAACAACTACAGGAATAGATAAAAGTTAAACCTGGAATCCCTTTTTGTTCAYAGAGGGGCTGCAACACTGCTTTTAACTGAATAATTAGCACTATTRTTAAATGTCCCATCCCAGTAATATAAAATGAATTCACAGAGTCTAGTAGCACTTTTATCCTAATGAATTCTGACACGACTGAATGTGTTCCTATCTTGTATCTCTTTTTTCCATGTCCATTGCRCTGAGTTAATTTAAAAATAGTCAAATGTCTGCATACAATGTAGTCTGCCAGAGAAGCCGGGATATTTTCTCCTGCTTTATGTGACAGCTGATTGTGTAGTTTCCATTGATGTTCTCCCCCTTTGTSCCATCTTTCTTTGTTAAGTTTGCTGAGAGTGTCTTTGAACCACAGGCATTTTCTCTCAGCGGTGTTCTCCAGCCCTGCCAGATCCTTCATCATCCATCTCTCTATAGCTCCCATACTGTCTTTAAAACCACTACACATACACAAATATACATATACACACATACACACACACACACACTGAGACAATGTTCTGTTTCTTCCATCAGTCTTGTCGCTGACTTTATAACATCACTGACAAACATGAATGACTCTATACACTTAGAGATGTGTACTCACACAATTTCTCTTCTACAAAAGAGTCAAAATGTGCCGCTTTGTATTTAATGATCAGAGCTCTTGGAGGTGAGGATTAAAAAGGTGGCAGATTAAAGTGAACACACCATGGAAATGAAGCTCACTTCAGCCCAACACCACAGCTTCTTTCCGAAGGCACAACCTTTTCACAGTCACACTGAAGCCCGTTGGTGCCGCCGCTGCCTGCACTACTTTCCTCTCTTATGTGTGACACGTTAGTGTCGAACGCATCACATCTGAGCCGTAACAGTAGAAACTACGCATTTCCATGGCCTACATTCATTGTGAAAAATAAATAATWAAATCTTGAATTATGTTCACGAAATCTTGGGTATTAGGTTGTTTCATACAACCCCAATTCCAGTGAAGTTGGGATGTTGTGTAAAACATAAATAAAAACAATTGAATACACAGCAAAGACAAGATACAATATTTAATAAGTAAATAAATTTTATTGTTTTTTTTGTTGCAAATATTTGCTCATGTTGAATTTCATGCCTGCAACACGTTCCTGCTGGGACAGGGGCAAGAAAAGACTGGGAAAGTTGAGAAGTGCTCAAAAAACACCTGTTKTTGGAACATTCCACAGGTGAACAGGTCATTTTGGAAACAGGTGAGTGTCATAATTGGGTACAAAGGGAGCATCCCTAAAAGGCTCCTTAGTTGTTACTCACAAGCAAGGATGGAGTAGGTTCACCACATTGTGAACAACTGTGAGAGCAAATAGTTGAAAAGTTTAAGAACGTTTCTCACTGTACAATCAACCACAGTCCTTATTGTCATCAAACGATTCAGAGAATTTGGACAAATCTCTGCAAGTAAGCAACAAGGCTGAAAACCAACATTTAATGCCTGTGACCTTTGATCCCTCACTGCATTAAAAACATCATTCTGTAACAGATACCATGGGCTCAGAAACACTTCAGAAAACCATTGTCAGTTAACACAGTTCATAGTTAATACTAATATTTAAACTTTTACCTTTTTTGCAATACATAGCTGAGTTCTTGTCTTTGTGTGGACTAGTTGTTGGCTCTTTAGTCTTGTCAAACATTAACTTTATTTCTCCAAGCTGAGGCTGATCAAATTTATGGGAAGATATTATTTATTCAAAGCTGTTCCCCAAAACCTTATTTAAAATAGCCAACATAGATTTTATCATAATGATAAGAAGGATCAGAAAATAAGCATTGTTTTTAGTCACGATTTGCCACTAAAGGTGAAAGGGTGAGAATGTTGTGGCACATGTCTGTGTGTGTACTGGTTTGTTTGTCATGTTAGCAAAATATCTTATGAACCACTGGATAGATTTGAATAAAATTCCTAATAATCAAACATTAGCGTTTCTTCTGGAACTGATYAACTTTTGGTGTTAACCCAATTCAAAATGGCTGCCACAGCTAACCAACATTAGCCAACAGAGCAATGCTATGAGTCAGTTTTACAGATACTGAACTAAAAATAGATTAATTTACAAAGTTTGACTAAAATGGCTTTCACTCCATAATTTCTCATCATGAGATTATTTTAGTTTAAAACTCTAGCATGAAAGGTAGAGGCAAAATGCATTTCTTTAAAAAATGGTAGGCCTTTAATTACAAGTTATAATTATAAATTTAAACTCTTGAATCAAATATTAAGTCTTGAYACATAAAACTTTTATTTTTCAAAAAGTGTGCACTAACTTTTCAACAATTAATTAATTCTCATCATATACTCTGAAATCAGCAGTAAAGCTGAATGCCTCAATTTAATAAAAATTCACCAGAATTGTTTGTCTAAGCTTTTAAAAGTTTAAATTAAGCCATTCTTGTGAAATATCAGAACTTGTTGTTAATTTACCTTAATTGAGAATGTTTMAAATCTTGGGCCATTAAAATTAGATGGTATAACTGAGAGTGGAATTTCTCACCATTCGAGTGCATGTTCTCACTTGCAACATGCAAACAAGCCAAAACAAAACCCAGTGAAAAAAAAAAAACAGAGAATAAATCAAGCCTCATAARAACAAGGCTCCATACTTTGGTCGTCAGAGGAAGTGCGCCGCTGCCCTGCTTGTATGTGGGGGGAGTGTCTGTTTGCACAGGTCTCTGTCAGTTACCACTAATCTGCCTGATCTCCAGCTCAAAGTCGCTCACTCTTCCACATGCAAATAAACATATTTAGTCTTCTTTCAGACCAAAGCCACTATCAAACACTTGTTTGATCAGCAGAGAGAGGGCCTGTGAGGCACTTCATTATGCATGTGAGGGGAAAAAAAGGCAAGAAGAGAACACATTGTTGCTAGGGTTTATGTAATTATCCTCACCTTTAGCAGCGACTGGCAACAATTACCACCACAGCAGACTGATGTGTGTGTGTGTGTGTGTGTGTGTGTGTGTGTGTGTGTGTGTGTGTGTGT